TCCTCTGCCCAAAATGCTTCTTCAGTTAGACAGACCCTGTCTCCTTTAAATTGCATTTTGTCTGAAATGGACTAGGTCACATGTAATAAATTCTGGCATTTTAATGGAAATGTTACAGCAGAAATAGTTAACAATCTGCTTTAATTTCAAAACCAATTTTCCCCTTCATGCGGTAAGGCAGTATCTTGGTAAAATGTGCAAAATGCATTGGGATCTAATTATGATGGCAGTTTGTTCTGAAGCGAGGTTAACTGGGCTGTCAGTGTTCTGGATAAAGGTGTTGGGGGCTCGGCGGTGGGGAGGAGAGTGTCGGCTTGGTGTTCCTGGGTCCCCAATGCCATGCAGACCACAGTGGACTCAGGAGCCCTGGGCACGTTAGCTGCTGAGGGTCCGAATCAGTGGGAGGCTGGATGCTCCTGGGAACACAGAAGGAGTCTACGTACAGCAACGGGCCCATCCGCATGTGAGGACTGACAGACAAGGAAACAGTCGGGGGGTCATTTCTTCATGTCTCCCCACTGGGTCGGATTCATTCATTCATTTATCCTGCAGCACATATTTGAACCCCATTGTGCAGGTGCTGGAGATACAAAGAGGAGCAAAAAATAAGCAGAATTGTTATCTTAGGAAGGCGATGGGCTCATGAGAGAGAAATACATTCATCCAAGGACGATACAAATACACGTACAAGGACAACTGTGCCAACTGCTTTGATGGAAGGGTCCTCGGTGCCAGGTGCACGTGTAAGGGGTGTTGGGTGTGGTCTGGGCCGTGGTGATGGTAGTCATGGGCGGCCTTGCCTGGGAGGCTGCTCTGGAACTGGACACTGGGCGGGAGGGTGGGGTGGGGACTAGTCCAGGCAGAACCGTGTTGCACGCTGGGTCTGAGGAACTCAGGGCGACTCGGAGCGACTGGGGAGCAGAGAGCACGAGGGTCTCCCGTCTAGCATCAGCAACCACACCGCGGTCAACACTGACTTCCCCACGTGACTGCTGAGAGTCCTGGGACCGGTCAGCCTTACTCAGTCGCCGGGTGCTGACAGTGGCCGTGTCCACCCCTGCGGTACCTTTTCCTCCAGTGCATTTGATTCTCTGCGACAAGGGCTTCACTCCTCAGGGTGCTGTGCTGGGCCTGAGGATCGCTGAGGGCTCTGTGATCGCTCGTTGTCATGGTTTCTGGTCCTAACCAGGCCAGGAAGAGTGCGTCCCTCATCAATACCTCCCTTTGCCCGGAGACCATCTTCAGGCTGTTCCTGAAAACCCACTGCAGCCCCATGAAGGCATCTTCTGTCCCCTCTCTCAGTTCATATCAATCAACACATAAGGGAATATGCACTTATTGATCACCTGTTGTGTACCCCACATTGGGTTCAGGGTTTTTACCTGCTTAATTGTTGGACAGCTTTGTAAGATAAGGGTCGCATGCAGTATTATAAGAATCAGAGGCTCGCCGAGGGTAACTTGCCCGCTGCACAGAGAAGGTAGCGGAATGTCAAACCCAAGATGTCTGCTTGTACGTCTAGTTTTTCCACCCTAAATTGGTAAATAATGTTTCTGGGTTTAGATGGCCCCTGGGCAATGCAGGGGAAAGTTGGTTCTTTTTTTCGATTCTCTCTTGAACATCCTGATTAATCAGGTGGAAAACAAAGTGGCTTCAGCACGTGCTGCATGTCCGCTAACCTCCGTCTCGACAGAGCTGGACTCAGGCTTAGTGCCTCCACCATGGCTCAACAGTCTCCAGCAAGATTCAGATAAAATCACTTTGATTTCCCCTTCTATATCCGGGACATCATATTGTCTTCCTTGGGGTGGGGATATAAAGTTGCCTTTTAAGGAAGAAAGTTACAGGAGAAAATAAAGAAAAATACTGACTACATTTTAGGTCTGGCGTATGCGCCTCATACTGGTGAAAACATGAATGTGTGTTCATCTGAGTGGGACCTGCTCCCTCCCTCCATTCACTCTGCCTCACTTGCTCCCAGGCCATGGGGTGCTTCCCGTAGGTGATCATTCGGTCCTCAGTTCTGAAACTGTTCTTTGTTTGTTTTCCTGGGAAACACATAGAAGAGGTTGTAATGAAAACAATCCCTGTCATCAGGACCATTGGATCCTTCCTAAGTTTGCATTTTATAACCCGAATCAACCCACGCTAGTAATGGAGTCTTAAAACCTAAGAAAAATATGTACGTTTATTGCAAAAGATAATATCCCATTTAAAACAGTTTAGAAATTTACAAAACCTTACATTATACATAGTTTTTAAGAAGGTGCTCTACAGATGAGCTGGTATTAAGTTCCAAGTATAGTGGGTACACATTTTTTTCTTAACTACAGAGAAAGCAGCTACATAAACTCCTGCAACTTAGGCTGACGTATCCGTCTTGTTTTCCTTCAATTTTATAAAAGTAATTTTTGCTAAAGTAACACTTCTCCATAAAACCAAATAACTCAAGTACAGCATTTTTGTAGATTAGGATGGTAGATGTTACATAATATTTTACAAAGAAGTGATTTTCACATGAGGAGATGGGTGTAGACTTTTGGTTATATGTATATGTGTGGTGGTTTTTTTTGTCCTTTTGGTTTTTGTGTTTTTAAACAGAGATGGTCATTTTTGTTAGCAGGAAGGTGTTTACTGAATCCCTCACCCTCACAATGATTTTAAATGTTCAGTTTCGGGAAGAGACCTCCTTTCCCAGTTTTAGGTTGGTGGCCTGGGCGATGCTGTGTTGTGCTTTGGTATAGAATCGTTACGGTTTCGTTTGGTTGTATTTCTAGAAATGTCAACATTTTCTGCCCCGATTTCATTTTTCAGTGGAGGGTTTATCTGAGGCCCCCAACACAACGTAAGTGTATAAAACATGCTCTTTAGAGTGACCTCACACCTCTTCATCGATCCAGGCTGACTTTGGCCAGTGACCCCGCTCTGCTCTGGGTCATTCTGCTTGTTTGATGTTGGACCATGCACAGAGCTTACCAGGTGGGTGGAGTCGATGTCCATATCTCCATTCGAAAATGGACAGACAGGCCCTGACATTTGTAACAATTTGTCAAAGGATAGTGGACTAGGCTAATTCTGTTGCCTGGGTTTCTTAATTCCCGAAACAGGATTATTTTCATTCTCGCATGCTGCCCAAGACTATAAATCAATTTGAAAATCCGTGTAAGCAAAGCGAATTAAGATGGAAGCTCTACTACAAGATAAAATTACATAAGAGATCCCACATGATTTTGCTTTATTGGATTAGCCTCTCCACCGTTCTTTTCCACTGTTGGGGCCAACCGAGAGTCGACTGTGTGGATACAGAAAGCTCTGTGGCTTTCAGCCAGTGGTAGCATATCTTACTGAAATGTGGCTTCCTAAGTATGACAAGTGTATTCATCTTAATTCCAACTTAACAGTATGGATGCCGGTCTCATTTTGTGGGTTTGAACGTTACACTAGAAACAGAACAAGAACATCTTGAGTGACATCCCAAGACGGAAATAGTGCAAGCTGAGGTTCCTTGCCAGATCCCCCTCCCGCTCCCACTGACGGAGCCCGGGCACTGCAGCGCCGTGGCGGGAGCAGGTGCAGCTGTCGGAGTGTTTGCTCCCATTCGGCTCAATTTGCAGTGGGGCTATGTTCATCCCACGTTCACTCAGGATGCTGTACTCTGCAGACTCTTCACTCGCTCACCTGATCTTGAGCGAAGGGGGTTATGAAATGCCTTCTTCACTGAATGCCAGTTGGGCCTTAGGTTCCCTTTTCCAAGCAGCATCAATCCAACCACAGGCTGGTAGAGAACTTAACGAGAAGGAATAGGAGCCTTGCCACCCACCCCTCAGCCCCCAAAGTATGCAGCAATTACTTAATTATATTATGTTGGTGGTTGGACCAGCCATGCACGTTTGACTGGACCCACACGTATAGGGGTCTTGTCAAAAGAATGAGCCAGACTTTAAAAGAATTCAGACTCTGGGAATGAAAGGTCTTTAATACTAAAATGAAAAAAATATATATGTATATATATCCTCATCCCTAGTGCTGCTGCTTCTTCAATCAGGTGACCCTGGCCTGGTCACCAGGAAGGGAGATTATGTAGATTAATATACTTTTGAACTTATCTACAAAGCTATTGCGGGGATGAATGGATGAGACCCAGTGATGTGTTTTATCTTAGTCTTATTATGTTACTGGTAAGATGAAACAGACAGGTTGCTGGGCCTCACGATCTTAAATGACGCAGGGAAATTAACTGTGAAATCTTAAAGTTCAAACCCAAACCAGACCCCACTCATTTGCCAGGCGGCGTCAGGCCCCGGGCTCAGGAGCATGATGGTCTAAGGCGTGCCCTGGAGCTACCCCTGCAGGACAGCCACACCAAGTTCCTTATCCCCTGTGGTGACCTTACTCCGCCACAGACTGGAAGGCCCACACAGCACGAGATGACAGATTCTTGATTTGGGATCAAGGGGCTATTTTCAAATGAAAACGACCCAACCCACCAGGAACCTTGCATTTATGCCCTGCTGATGTACACCAACATCTCAGAAAACTGCCCATTTACTTATCTAATCTTTTTCGATGTGTCAGTTTCTAACCCTCCTCTCTCTTCCTGCTCTGCACATTTCTTTCTTCTTTCTTTTGGGATGACAAGCCAATGACTAGAAGGAAGTGCCTAGCATCGCGGATGTGTTGGAACGTCGTCAATGGGGGCTTTGCTCGTGGTGGGAATCTAGACTCGAAAACCAGGATGCCGCCTGGTCATGAGTGACGGGGCACTAGGCAAGCGATCACTCCAGGGTCCGTGAAGTCCTCAGCAAGCAGTGGCCTCGCTCAGGTGAGGTTGGGGGTCAGGTGTCCCGCAGCGGCTAAACCAGCCCTGAGTCTTTCTCATCTCACAGGTGGAGGGGTCTGCAGCTGGGGCCTTGGCTAAGAAGTAGAGAAGGCCTCGGGGCAGTGGTCTCCCCGCCTCCGAGAGGTGTTTGGGGAGGGCACAGAGCATGGTCCCCACACACTCAGATCCACCAGAAGCATTTCTTCTTCACCTTCTTGGTTTTCCGCCTTAAGTCCTGTTTCTCAGGAACGGGGGGTTCTGCCGTGGACGTTGGCGGGGGAGATGGCTCCTCGGCTGGTTCTGCTTCCTCCAGACTCTGTAGAACCTCGTGGAACCTGCCTTCCTGCTGCCGGAAATCATATTCTACACTGAAAACACAGAGCAAGGAAGGAAAGTAAACTCAAGTCAGCGCAGGCGGATTTAGCATCACCAAGGGCCCAACTGACGTGGAAGAGCATGGGATTTACATCTAGTCCCAGACCCTGAGCTACCTACTGGCTGTGGGACCTGGGAGAACTGTGCCCCCTCTCTGAACCTCCAGCTCCTCACTGATTGAATTGGCACCTGCCATGCCTTCCCTTTGGGGATGTTCTGAAATTTAAATGAGGCATTTAAGCCCAATAGTAGATGTTCAGTACACATTGCTCCAATCTTTCTCACATTTGTTTAATCCTCCTAATTCTTTTTACACATGTTATGCACAGAAACTGCTTCGTTATAAAAGACTTAAAAAAATACAGAGAAATAGACAATAAACCTGACATCTCAGTTTCCTCATCTATAAAACAGACAAAATAATAGTACCTGTCTCAAAGGTTTTCTTCGGAATACACACACACACACACACACACACACACACACACACGAAGTGAGAGACTATTATAACTTAAGTAATAAGAGCAGTGCCTGGCATGTAGCAAGCCTCCCTCTGCATGAGTTGGCTCCTATTACTGTCATTATTATCCTCAACATTGTTAGTACTAATATTTTATGTTTTGCCTTTGCCTTGCTTCTCAACCCAACAATGTGTCTTGGAGAGTTTTACATGCCCTTACCTCATAGCATTCATCAATCCAGGCACATTTAAACACTCTCCTTGGACGGTACTTCCTAATCTCTTTTTTGCTATTTTACTGGTGTGTTTCGGAGCCATTCCTGTACAGACTCCATTGTATGGTCTGCACATTGATCTGTGAGTACACAGGGCTGACACTGGGGACCAGGATTCCCAGAGATTCAGAGAGCCAGGGCAGCGGGGGACAGAAGTCTGGCCTGTGCGGTGGGTGCTCATGCCCCCTGACCTCTGAGGGCGCGGGAGTCAGGCTGGCAGGCATCAGAGGCTGGCAGGCGTCTTGTGCCTCTGGCGTAGCCTTCCCAGAACCTGGGAGCTGGGCCAGAGGAATGAATCTGCAGGCTGTTCATGGGCCCCCTCTGCTCCTACTTGTCCACTTTCCTTCCTGGGAGATTTACCGAGGGAGGCAGTCCCTGGGCCGGGGTACCTGTAAGATTTACTGAGGGAGGCATTCCCTGGGCTGGGGTACCTGTAAGAAGGCTCTTAAGGTTGTTTATGTTACCTGGTTTCATACCAGAGCTCTCAGAGGACCAAAGACGAGGAGCCAGTGTGGGCTTGTGGAAGAAAACACAGTCGTGAAAACAGTGCATTCTCTTTGATTAACAAGGAAGAAATGAAATGTTTCATATGGAAGAAGAGAACCTCACATCCATCCATCCATCCATCATCCATCCATCTATCTATCCATCATCCATTCACCCATCCACCTATCCATTCATCATCCATCCATCCATCCATCTATCCATCATCCACCTCTCAATCATCCATCCATTCACCCATCCACCTATCCATCCATCCATCATCCATCCATCCATCCATCCATCCATCTATTCGTCATCCACCTCTCCATCCATCCATCCATCCATCCATCCATCCATCTATTCGTCATCCACCTCTCCATCCATCCATCCATCTTTTCGTCATCCACCTCTCCATCCATCTGTCCATCACCCATCATCCATCCATCCATCCATTCATCCATCTATCCATCATCCACCTCTCCATCCATCTGTCCATCATCCATCCATCCATCCATTCATCCATCCATCTATCCATCCGTCCACCCTGCTCATAGCTTGACACTCTGCTTAGCTAGCTGTGGGACACAACAAGAAGACAGACAGACGTGGAAACTGCTCTCTTGAATCTTACTTCTCAGTGTGTGAGACAGATGATGAAACTAACAACTGCTCTAAAAATATGCTTTGTATTTATCTCAACTATCCCTACTTTCCAGCCCTTCATCCATACACCTCTACCAAATTATATGAACATACACAAAAACCAGCTTTCTTCTTCTCCTTCTATGTGACATTTCTCTGACTTCATAATTCGAATAAACAAACAGCAGCAGCGAACCACCCGAGTGTGCCAAGACTCACAACAGTGTCCTAATACCAATTAATAAAAGAATGCTGTGGGTGAATCCAAAATGTGTACAGAACTGGCAGGCCCGAGGACAGAAGAGGCAGAAGACAGATGAAACTCTGTCTCATCACCACAATTTAAAATGCAGCCCAAAATCGAGGATAGAGCCAGGGCTGTCGAGTGGAACACTCCTGGGTTGGAACCAAGGATGCACCACTCACTGGCTAGGTGACCTTGGGCAAAATGCTTCTCTTTCACAGACTCCATTGAGAGTGAGGGTTAACGCTCTCGCTGGGCAGTTGCACAGATGGGACACAATGGCAGGTGAACCGTCCTCACATAGGTTGTGGTCTCCGCCGTTCCACTCTTCACTAAGTCTTTTGTCTTCCTATCTCAAGGGCTGAATTTCTCACCTCCTCCCTCATACCTTAAGCTCTTCAGCAGTTGTATACCTTACCAGCAACATCACCCTTCACCCCTCCCTTCCACGTACATTCAGGAAAGAATACATCCTATGTTTCTATGGAAACGCCACAGGGTTCCATTATAATCAGTGGGCCTTAGAGATCCCCCCCACCCCTCTTGCAGCTGCCCCCACTGATCTTGACAATTGAAAGGGGATTGCAAGTGACTTTCTTTTCAAGGCCAGGCAAAAAGCAGAGTATAGAGAAGTGTGTGCACTTAGGAAAGAAATTGATTAATGTTTTTCAGGCCAAAGCAATTTATTAACATAAAAGAAAATTGTCACTTTCCTTCTTATTCTTCCGTTTGACAAACTACTGTTTAGTTTGGAGGAGAGGAGAGGGACTATTTTGGTTGGGTAGCAGGTACCTTATAAAATGGGCAAGGGGAGGTGTCCTCTCTCATCTCTCTTCATCTTGAAGCTGAGTGGAAAAAGGAGCTACCCCTCAACTTCCTTCTTAGCCAATCCACACCATATGCAGCATCCTCTTGAAAGGGGGGATACATTGTCTGTTTGGTGAGAATTCAAGGAGAAGGTTGTTTGTGGATTCTGGGAAATGGCCATCTGCCTTGGGTTTGGTATCAAGGTGAACACCGGTAACTCTCTTAACCTCCCCTCCTTTTCTCTTCCTCCTCCTGTCTACGGCCATACCACCCTGAACGCGCCCGATCTCGTCTCTTCCTCCTCTTAATCCCCCGCCCTCCACCCTTACCATCCTCTGCCGCCTACTCCACAGATACAAGGAGGAGTGCCGAGCTCCGGCTCCGGGGGGCGTAAACGGTGGTCAAGAACTTGTGACAATTCCAGGTCTGGGCCTGGAGCCATTGAGATAGCGGGGAGCCTTCGAGGGCTGTGAGCATTCCTGCGAGGAATACCCCACACCTGGTTCAGGGCCCCTTGTTCACCCTCTGAGGGAGACTTAGAGGCCTTCCCATCGGAGCTGTCTGCGCGTGGTACCACAGCACCTTTAGAAAGTGCGCTGGGTGCCAGCCAGGAACGGGGAGGGCTTGTAGGTGGCCCTGTCGAGGGCCCTCACTAATCCCGCTGACAGGTCACGCTCCAGCCATGAAGCCAGGTGCAAAGCACAAGGATGCTTTTCTAGGTAACCGGACGCCTAAGTCATGGCTTGCCGGGCAGAAGGAACAGTGAGAAGCAATAAGGAGACACGTACACTAGCACGTAAGCGAACGGCACAGCCAGGTCTGGATGCAGTAGCGTGGCTGGCACACCGACGTGGGTGCGCCGAACAGAGATAAAAGTTTATAATGAAACAAATGAACAATAGAAATGCTTAACATTTACATAGCACTTTCAAATGGCAAACACTTCAGATCTGTGTTTTCATTTCATCCTCATGATGGCCCGGGAAGATGGAAAGGCTGTTATTCTCACTTAACTGACAAGTTGGCAAAGAGGAGTCGCGCTGTGAGCTAGGATCAGAATATAAGCCTGGTTTCCAGATTCTTTTAGTCCTTTTTCTTTTTTTTTCTAAAGAGGGATGAAATGCTTTAAATCGGGGCCTTGCTATTCCCAGGGCCTTAATCTAAGAAGAAACAATAACAAAAGAGTACTGGACCATGTTAGGTGAGGATGCATGGCAACTTACATGAATAACAGTGATAATAATAATAATTCGATGGAGCAGAGTGGGGAGGGGAGAAGGGAAGGAGAGGAGACAGAGGAGTGAAATCTGAATTGTAGACCCTGCGTTACAAGTTTAGTGATGCCCACGTGCCCGTGGAAGTCTCACAGTCCCGTTAGACAGATATCACCTTCGTTCCCTCAACGAGGAGACGGAGGCAAGGGTAGGTTAGGGGCACACTGGTGAGCCACAGAGCCAGGACGCGAGCCGAGAGTGTTGGACTGCAAAGCTGTGCGCGGAGGCAGACTTCACTGAGGAACACCGTCATCTTTTTCCTGTGTGAGATCCTGGCTGCCACATGAGTGGCAGTGCAGAGATGGTGGTGACCAAGGCCTGGCTCCCCTGAACGACCACCCTGGCCCCTGTGGAGCCAGACCCAGCGTGGAGCTGGGCTGCGTGGAGGCCCTTTATGACCGCGCTGACCAGCCCAGTCAATAGTGTTGACTGCAGGGCAATGTGGGCAGGAGGCCGCATGCCCGGAGAAGACGGGCACCCCCTCAGCAGGCAGTGTACTCAAAGTAACATGCGGGCTCAGGCATCCTGGGTGTGCTAGGCTGCGGAGGTCTGCAGTGGGCCCTTTGCCCTTCCTTCTCAGCGGTGGGGCTTAGTCTTTTGTAAAGAGAAACGGACAAGCCACTGGCACAGACCGTACACTCTAAGCAGGTTGGCCGAGATATCCCTGGCACCTCCCCAAAGGCGGACCGGCCTCCGGATCCCTCTCTACCTCCTCACCTCGGTGAGTGCTCCTGTGGCCCCTCCCACCCCAGAGCCCGGGAGCACCACAGATTTGTTGGGACCTACAACTTTCTTTTCTAAAGAATTA